AAAAGGACAACTCTGTAGTAATACAGGGAAAAGTCTAGAACAGACACTTCGCAAAAAGAGGAATTTCAGATAGCCAATAAAAACATGAAAAGGTGCTCAACATAATTAATAATTCAGTAAAATGCAAAATATAACCACAAAGAGATTCCACTACACATCCACTGGATTAACAAAAATTAAAATAATTGAAAATATCAAATACTGAGGAGAATGTGTATAACAGGAGCTCCCATATACTGCTGATGGGAGAAAAAAATAGTATTTTTCTTTAGGATTTTATTTATTTATTTGACAGAGAGAGAGAGAGAGAGAGAGCTCACAAGTAGGCAGACAGGCAGGCAGAGGGAGAGGGAGAAGAAGGCTTCCTGCTGAGCAGAGAGCCTGATGCGGGGCTCGATCCCAGGACGCTGGGATCATGACCTGAGCCGAAGGCTTAACCGACTGAGCCACCCAGGCGCCCCTAGTATGGTTATTTTTGAAAACTTTTTGGCAGTATTTAGTACAGTTGAATTTACATTCTATCATCTAGCAATTCCCCTTCTAGGAGTATACTAAGAGAAATGTCTGCAAATGTGTGCAGGAGACCTACACAGAGTTAAATATAGCCACATTTTCTAATAACCCCAACTAGAAACAACCTAACTCTACATCAACTTTAGAAGATATAAATACACTTTGTACAGTCCCATAATAGAATATTACACAGCCATGAAAATAAATGAATCATAGTGACATGCAACATCAGGAACAAACCTCACAAACATGTTGAGGGAAACCAGATGCAAAATGCAGAATTCCATTTTTTTTAAGATTTAGTACATGTATTTTTAGGTTTGTAAAATTGTCAAATATTTTTAGACTGTCTCAACTTCTAGAAAATTATTCCATTTGTGTTACAGGCTTTTTTAAAATTCATGATCCAATTTTATTCCTGAAATAGATTTTTAAACTTCAGGAGATAGCTATGAGGTCTTAACTAAAATTTTAGGTACTGTAAACTTAGTGAAAATGCGTTCTTTAAAAAAAATTTATTATTGAAATATAGTTGACATACAATGTTATATTAGTTTCAGGAGTACCACATAGGGATTGGACAATTCTATACATTATACAGTGCTCACCATGGTAAGTGTGGTCACATCCGTCACCATACAGACATTATTACAATATTATTGACTATATTCTCGATGCTGTACATGATTCCATTTCTATAAAGTTCAAAACCAGGCAAAATAAAACTATGGTGTTTAAGAGGGCATACCGAAGTAGTAAAATATTTTTAAAAATTAAGAAAGTACCTATCACGAGTCTGGTGATTATCTTTGGCTGGGAGAGAGGATTGCAATCAGATTTCTGGGCTCTGTACTATTTTCTGGACTGATTCAGTTGTCCCGAGGCATTCACTTTAAACAGATGCATGAAGCTGTACATGTTTTACGGACTCTGTATATGCTCTGTTTTCACAATAAAAACAGGCATAAAAAGATGCTGAGAACCAAGTCACTCTTCTTCTCTGCGCATATTCACATTTTCATGGGATGCCTGGAATGGCAGAGGAGGCTGCTTGGGGAGGAGCCAGCTGAAGACTAAGCTGACGCGTGGAGGATGGAACAGACTGATAGAGCCATCCCATAGCTAGGGAGCCCCAACGAAGTAACTCAACAAAGATAAGCAATAGTGGCTTGGTTTGGCTTTGTTTTGTTTTGTTTTCCTTTGTAATTTTAGTAGAATTACTTCCTTGGCCCTGTCAAGTTGTTCTTGAAATATTCCACGTTACTCAGTTTTCAGATTTACGACTGTCAATCAACAGTCCTTTGAGGCTGTCAAGTTAGGGGTTCTAGTCAATTTTAGTTACTTTCCTTAAATAGGAGCTAGACAAACTTTTTAAAAACGGGGTAATTATCCTATTTTGCAAGAGGTCCTTGTGTTTGGTTAAAGCCTCCATCGCTGCCTCCTACTCATTATATAAGTGTTTTCATTTTCTCTGGAAAACTATGATCAAATGCAATCATTTGACATAACTGACTACAACTGCTGTTCTTTCTTTTTGTTGTTGTTCTAACTTTCTTTTAAAAAGAACATCACACCAATCAACTCTATTGAAAGCAATACATCAATTAAACAGTTAAACAATTAGAACTTGTACGTAGGGCAGAGCCTCAGTCCCAGCAAAGAAGTTTTACGTATGAATGTTTTTCTTTACTTTGTTCATAAGAAACTTCAAACTTAGGGTACCAATTTCAAGGTTTTATATGAAGTTTCCAAAAATAGGAGGTTCTGGGACTCAAAAAGCTAAGGCAACTCAAATAACTTGAGAAGTGATCTGAATGGCATGTGTCTCCCAACGTTCTCCAGATGTCAGTTTTTCAATGCAGAGTCGCAGAAATGCCGCCGTCCCAGCCCTGCAGTGCCAGGCACTAAGTACAGGCGACGAGTCGATGTCAGTCAGCCCCTTGTCTTAGTTTGCTCATCTTTGTAAATGTATAAACTAAAAATGGTTGGTTAAAAATAAATGTTTCAGAGAATGTTTAAATTTTTTGAATGTCGCTTAAATGTGGCTTTCAGAGATGTCTGTGTAGTAGAGTTAAATGCTAGAACATTTTTTTCTTATGACAAGAATATATTCTCACACTTGAAGTTTATTCACAGAAATCACCAGAAAACAAATTGCCGAGACTATCTCTGCCTAGTGTTTTAAAAGATCTCAAAAAACCAAAGCCCATCATACCCCAAGGGTTTTCCTTATTTCAGGCAGAAATTACACCTGCCACCTTTTTGAGGCTTTATATAATCGGCATACCAATATGTAGGCTCCTCATCAATATAGCAAGGAATCTCATTAAGCCCAATTTGTAGCTGTCACTTTGGAAAGAAAATCCACGGGTCTGTGCTGCATTAGGTAACCACACCAACTTAATATAACAAACCCATCCTGCCCCTTAACAGAAATGTATTAACAAATGAGTTGAGTTTTGTTGTGGGGATTGTCAGCTTTCAATTGGATGACCATGCTCAAGAATTCCAGACATTTGTCAACATAAGAAATGTTACTCTATGTGGTCTTCTGAGTTCATTGACAGAAATGTGTCACTTGAATTTTTAGTTTTCTTGAAAGCCACATCAAGAATATGGAGTTTGGGGGCGCCTGGGTGGCTCAGTTGGTTAAGCGACTGCCTTTGGCTCAGGTCATGATCCTGGAGTCCCAGGATCGAGTCCCGCATCGGGCTCCCTGCTTGGCGGGGAGTCTGCTTCTCCCTCTGACCCTCTCCCTCTCGTGCTCTCTATCTCTCCTTCTCTCTCTCTCAAATAAATAAAATCTTAAAAAAAAAAAAAAAAGAATATGGAGTTTGCTTCCCCACCACCTGTCATAATAACCTTGCTTCCTGTGTTCTGCCAAGCAGTTTTTTCTTTTCACTATGTATTTCCATTTTCATCATTGACCTATGTCTTGCACATTAAGACAAGAGGAAGGACAAAAACCACCATACACTGCCCCAGCCCTAACAGCGAGAACCTGGAACAGCAATGGTCACCTGCAGAGCTACAATTGTCTAGCTGACAAGACTACGGCGCTCAGGGACTACACATGGTCACCATGCTACAGAGGAAGCTGGGCACCACCTGAGATGCTCAGAGAGGCACAACAGGAAGAGATGTCCTGGAACCCTAGTTACTGAGTGCGGGGCAATAGATTCTAACACCAAGGCTGAGGCCAAGGCTCTCAGCAACATACATGAATTAAGTGTATTATCATTTTCCTCCCACATCTACCTTCTGATATAGAGTGAAAAGGTCAGAAGGTGGACAATAAAGAAAGGAGAGCCCCTCCTCTACCTAGATCATTCATGAGTTGGCTATAAATGGAATTTCATTATTTAAATTATATTTTAAATGTAATTTAAATATAGTGGGGATGTTAACACTTTAAAGTCTATCATACATTCTTTGGGTCACATGTCCTTTGGAGAAAAATCAGAATTGGGGGTGCCGGGGTGGCTCAGTCGGTTAAGTGTCTGCCTTCAACTCAGGTCACAATCTCGGAGTCCTGGGATCGAGCCCCGCATTGTGCTCCCTGCTCAGCGGGAAGCCTGCTTCTCCCTCTGCCTCTGCCTCTCCCCCTGGCTTGTGCTCTCTCTCTCAAATAAAATCATAAAAAAAAGAAAAATCAGAATTGCTTTATTTTGAATTCACTTAAAGCAGGTAGTGTGCAGTAGCAAAGACAAGAAGCTTGTTTTGGAGTCAGTCCACTAATGATTGCATAGTACAAGGGACAGTCTTTGGGTCCAAATCATGGTTACTTAAGCAAGCAAAAGGCATCAAGGGAAACAAATCATTTCTTTTCTGGAGATAACCTGACCTGACTATATGGCCTCAAACCTGAATGGCATGAGACAGAACAAATGTCTGCTCTCGGTACTATTCATGGACACTTCGTAAATTCCCTAACTCAGGAAAGAGTGGCAGCTAAAACTTATACCTACCTTACCTCCCCACCCCCAGCTGTCAGTTTCCCAAAGCTAAATCTAATTTTCTGAAGTCTGCCTCGTATCCAAAATTCTCAATGAAGAGAGGCCACGTACAACTCAGAAAACATCAAAAAAGATCATTTATGTTCAGGACCTTGATTTCTGGCACATCTTCCTCGATAGCATAATCGGGTAAGCTGAGAGGAGAAAACTGCTTTGTTCCAATTCTAGGAGCTACTTGCATTGCAACTGCATTTCCGTTTTTTGGTTGAGTGAATTAGTCCCTTTAGGTTTTCAAATGGATTTCCCTCAAAAATCCAAAGTGAGGTTATTATACCAAAATTTTCACTGAAGAGGAAAAACTATCTACATTGTCAGCATTTAAACACACATATGAGTGAAGACTGGCATTTCAAAGTAAAGGCCACGAACAGATACTTGCTGTATAAAGAGGAATGTGAAAAAGGCTAATATTTATAAAGAACTGGAGAGTGTGAAATATTTGGGAGAAAAATTCCACATGCAAGACAGACATCCAAAATGGCTCAACATAATTTATTTTTTTATGTTAAAATGTACAGAGTTCTTTTGAAAGTACTTGCTAGAAAGGGGAAAAAAAAGTGATATTACATACAAGGAGAGGAAGGGAGACCAACTGGCCCAGGAGCGCATGACATGGAGAAATACAAAGGCATCTAGGCACCCCTTCCCCGTAGCTTACAAGTCACCATGAACAAAGTACAAAGAGGTTACAAAACAGGAAAAGCAAATATAAACAGACAGGAATAGACTTAGCTTCATTTGTACATGCGGCTTTTAGAGGCATCTGGAGCTCTATTCACACACTCTAGAGATCTCTTTAAAGAGAATTTTTATCTTTCTTAAAATAGTTTTTAATATTCTACAACAAAGATAAAAAATTTTAAAGATGGAATGAAATGAAAAAGCTCTTATTTTAAAAGGCATCAAAGTCACTAACAGTGAGTTTTTAAATTTCTTTTTTAGAAGATTACCCAAGTTATCTTGCTAAAAATACATTTTTTTTTAAACAGAAGTGAAAAAATGACAGGTACCAATATTACTGTGTTGGATAATTTCTTTTATAATATAGAAAAGAACATTTTCTCTACAATAGTTCTACAGTCACAAAAAGGCTTGTGGAAAAGGGAGCTGCCCGATTGAATTTTTTTTTTTTTTTTAAAGAAACAAATGAAACCAAACACAACCGCAAACCAACAGAAACTGAATTCACGGCCCTCATTTCAACAGCTTCTCCTTCTGCCTTGACCCACCCTCCACCCAAGATACCTCCCTCCCGACCCACCCCATCCCCACCCCAACCAGGAAGCAATGACATAGCTGAAGATGTAGGGAGAGGGCAGCACAGTGCACTTTCTACATAGATGATTGGGAACTGGAAGAGTATATACAGAGAAACTGGGTCCTACACAGCCTTGCACATGCTCAGAATTGATAGCGGTTAAGATGTGGAATTCTGCCGTTTTCTACCTAACACATTTAATTGAGAAAGTCAATTAAAGTGTATTAAAAAAACAACAAACCTGTGCATTTGAAAAAATTTAATGCCTAATTAGTACTTCAAAAATTTATCTATATAAAATGTACAAATAAAGGAGAGAATTTAATGCTTACAGGTATTTCTTTAAGCAGTACTTCCCCCTTTTGGATATTTGACTGCACATACCAAGTGGTATAATAGTTTCCATCTTCTAATGATGGAACATATATATAGATATATATAGATATATATATATTCTTTTTTTTTTTTACCTATCCCTGGAGCAAGTAATAGGAAGAGAATGGGCGAACTGGCTGCACGAGAGAAAAGACAATGGGAGTTGGGAGCAACATAGGAACCTGCTTAAAACCCTGCTGTCCAGATTTGCCCTACTATGCTGGTGGTTGGTTTATCCCTCTTCTCTTTTAACCACTCACAGGAGAGGGGCTGGTGCACTCTGATTCACAGGGAATGAACTCAGGATCTCAAGACAAATGAAAACTAGAGGTATGTATCATTTAAGTAGCTATAAAACTCAGACCATGATCTCCCTTACGTCATCTCTTCCAACATAAAATAAACAGTGTCAAATGTTTGTCAGGTATTTTTCAAATCACTGAAATGTACAGTCATCCATCAACACTTTATGTAAGAATGTAAGAGGCTAATCACTGGGGACTGCTGTTTGAGTTTAGTCAGAGTCGAAGGCTCGAGAATCAAGACCCTTAGCATCTCAAAGTACATACTAAAAACAAGAGGCTGTGTGGAGTATGTGCATTATGGCTGATTCACCAGGTGGTAAAAAAACAAGAGGCAAAATTCCTCTTTTCTGATTGTTAATTGACCATCTCTATTCCTCCAAAGCTGGATTAGGATTGCAAACAGCTTTCCTCTGAGATTCTGCTGTTAATTGAGACTTACAGTATTTTTGTGTCTCTGAGTGCTGAGTGGGAATAGTAAACAAAAAACAAAAACAAAAACAACAGAAAAAAAGAAAAAATTATATTACACTTGATTTAAAGAAAAATAAACATTTCAATGAAGTCCATCTTAAAGAAACATTCTTGGGGAAAGGTTTAAAAAGGTGTGTGTGTGTGTGTGTGTGTGTGTGTGTGTGTGTGTGTGTGTGTGTAGGGAGTGGAGGGGATTTTAAAAGGAGAAGCATTTTCCTGCCTCGCTTTATTAATAATAATAATAATAATATTAACAATAATAAGTTTAAGGAGCTTGGGTTGTTCTCCATGTCCCCATCCGAGTCTCCCGTAAGTGCCTCCTGCTGGAATGAAGTAGGAAATGAAAGGTTGGGTTTGGAGGAAAGGGTCTGGTTAACCCCCGAGATGTATATATAACATTTAAAAAATGACAACACTGGGAGCTGCAAACAGTGAGGGGAAACACACATCTTAAAATAAAATAAAGATAATTCACTTTTACACAAATTCTGTCCATGTGGTGTGTAAAGAAAGTAAGGCTCTTTTTAATTATGAAAAGATTTTTGTGCATGTTTCCCCTATCCCCAAATCCATTTTTAGATGAGTTCTATTGTAAAATGTTCAAGATCGTGAAGAAAACCAAAACCCAGAACAAAATGAACCCAAAAAAAGAGAAGACCAGGTTTTCTAAAAAATAAAATAAAACCAAAGAAAAATTCCTCTAAATCTACAGCAATATTTTAACTGGAAAAAGGTCCATTTTTCTCTGGTTTGTCAGTATAAAAGGTTCCTTTATTTATATATATTTAAGTTTTTAATTGCAAGTTCATCTTGCTCATCTTCTCATGTAAGGTCCATTGAGTGACTGCTTGGGCACGCCAGCAGCATTCATGTAGCTGTGATGGGAGGGGCCAGTGTACATCATGTTTCCATGAGGGTTTGGCTGCATAGGCTGCTGGGTATAGGCCTGGCTCCCCATCATCCCCATCTGCATCTGCATAGGATACTGTGCTGTCTGGTTCATGTAGGCAGGGTTACTATGGTAACTGCTGTTCATCATGGGCTGTGTCATTCGATAGCTGTTCATGGCATTCAAGGTGTTCATATTCATGGAATTGACATTATAGGCAGGGGTCGGCATCAAGTTGACCCCCATGTTCATGCCACGCTGAACAGCCAATGCGCGAGGGCCGGCCTGCATGGCAACCGCTGGTGGGCTGCGGCCGTACAGCTGCTGCTGGTGAGCAGCCGCAGAGGGCAGCGGCGCCGACTTGGAGCGGATGGAAATGTGCCCCTTGACTGGCATCTGCCCTTGCAACCTCTGCGTGTGAGGAATGCCAATGTTGGCGGCAGACATGTTGCACTGCAGCAGAGGCGACGTGAGGTTCATGGTGGTGGATGCCAGGTTCGGGGGCGGCGTCATGGTGGCTTGTGCTTGAGGGGTCCCAGCTAATGGATGAGATGGAGCTAGCTGAGCCAGTCCTGTGTTAGACAAAGAAACACTGGTTGCATAGGAAGTCACAGCAGGAGAATGGCTATAAGGCATGGCATGAGGGTCCATAATGGTGTTAGTCAGCTGCTGCAACTTGGCTAAGCTGAAGGTGGCCGACGGCTGCGAGTAGCTGCCGGCACCGAAGTCCCCTGGAATCCTCTCATAAATACTTATGTTCCCAGTGCCGCCCGATTCCGGGATCTCCATGATCATGGGCGCTGGAGTGAAACTGTTGTTCATGCTGCACTGCGACAGCGGGGGCTGCTGCTGCGG